ATAGGCTGGCCATAAATATGGCCTAAAGGCTGAACGCGGTTTCTGGGACCTCTCCACGATGATCCTCACCCACATGGTGGCACTCTGTGTCATCGGGTGTTTATCGCTTGCGTGATGTCTTGGTGGGGTAGAAAGTCAGTCAGGCCGTCAGGCCTCCCGGCACATTTCCTGACGTGTCATTTATAGGATAAATAAACAGAGGGAGAACTTTTGAGGCCGTTAAATATTATAAACTAATAAAGTAACAACATGTATTGATCGACACTCATAAAAAGGATGATAGGATGTTTGCAGAACCGAACCCAAAAATACGGGGTTTTTTTCCTAGGCAAATTTTCGTTCAGTAGATCATTTCCTAATAACCAAATTTAATTTAGTAACCAAGACAAGGCTGGGCAGCAGCCACCATGTGACTGGGACACGTCCCTTCCGGGCTAGCTGGCGGCGTGCTTGCCATTCGATACCACTGTTACTTCTTAGTAGACAGCACTGGGGTAGGGGAAGTCTTCCAGGTGTTCTTTTTCTTCTTCTGCTTCTGCTTTTTTTGCTTCTTCTTCTTCTGCTTCTGCTTTTTTTTTGCTTCTTCTTCTTCTGCTTCTTCTGCTTCTGCTTCTGCTTTTTTTGCTTCTTCTTCTTCTGCTTCTTCTTCTGCTTCTGCTTTTTTTGCTTCTGCTTTTTTTGCTTCTGCTTTTTTTGCTTCTTCTGCTGCTGCTGCTTTTGCTGCTGCTGCTGCTTCTGCTGCTGCTGCTTCTGCTGCTGCTGCTTCTGCTGCTGCTGCTGCTGCTTCTTTTTGGCTTCTGCTTCTTTTTGGCTTCTGCTTCTTTTTGGCTTCTGCTTCTTTTTGGCTTCTGCTTCTTTTTGGCTTCTGCTTCTTTTTGGCTTCTGCTTTTTTTTTGGCTTCTGCTTTTTTTTTGGCTTCTGCTTTTTTTTTTTGGCTTCTGCTTTTTTTTTGGCTTCTGCTTTTTTTTGGCTTCTGCTTTTTTTTGGCTTCTGCTTTTTTTTTTTTTGGCTTCTGCTTTGTTTTTTGGCTTCTGCTTTTTTTTTGGCTTCTGCTTTTTTTTTTTTGGCTTCTGCTTTTTTTTTGTTTGGCTTCTGCTTTTTGTTTGGCTTCTGCTTTTTGTTTGGCTTCTGCTTTTTGTTTGGCTTCTGCTTTTTGTTTGGCTTCTGCTTTTTGTTTGGCTTCTGCTTTTTGTTTGGCTTCTGCTGTTTTTTTGGCTTCTGCTGTTTTTTTTGGCTTCTGCTTTTTTTTTTGGCTTCTGCTTTTTTTTTTGGCTTCTGCTTTTTTTTTTTTGGCTTCTGCTTTTTTTTTGGCTTCTGCTTTTTTTTGGCTTCTGCTTTTTTTTTGGCTACTGCTTTTTTTTTTGGCTTCTGCTTTTTACTTGGCTTCTGCTTTTTTTTGGCTTCTGCTTTTTTTTTTTTTTTTTTTTGCTTCTGCTTTTTTTTTTTTTGGCTTCTGCTTTTTTTTTTGGCTTCTGCTTTTTTTTTAGCTTCTGCTTTTTTTTTGGCTTCTGCTTTTTTTTTGCTCCTGCTTTTTTTTTTTTTTGCTTCTGCTTTTTTTTTTTTGGCCTCTGCTTTTTTTTGGCTTCTGCTTTTTTTTGGCTTCTGCTTTTTTTTTGGCTTCTGCTTTTTTTTGGCTTCTGCTTTTTTTTGGCTTCTGCTTTTTTTTTGGCTTCTGCTTTTTTTTGGCTTCTGCTGCTGCTGCTGCTGCTGCTGCTGCTGCTGCTCTTCTGCTTCTTTTCTTCTTTTCTTCTTTTCTTCTTCTTCTTCTTCTTCTTCTTCTGCTTCTTCTGCTTCTTCTGCTTCTTCTGCTTCTTCTGCTTCTTCTGCTTCTTCTGCTTCTTCTGCTTTTTCTTTTTCTTTTTCTTCTTCTTCTTCTTCTTCTTCTTCTTCTTCTTCTTCTTCTTTTTCTTCTTCTTCTTTTTCTT